AGAATGTATAAAACGTTTCTGACCGTTCTTTTTTTCTAGACTAAAGAAAAATTTGGACGGTACATCCATCTGGTCTATATCTTTAAAACGTGACCGAACAAGCGCCCCCTGTGCCTTCACTTTTTGTATGTCGGACAAAACAGATTTCTTTAAAAAAAGGGATTCGATGTGTGTTTGATCTCCACTTGACTCTGCCACTTCTTCGAATTTCAGAATTTCATCTTCTAAAACTTTTATGGATTTAATTATATCTTTCGTGACATTGTGAGTGTACTGTTGACATAGTTGTTTGATTTGTACTTTACCAAACTCCCACCATTTTTCTAAAGACTGAAAATCAGTTTTTTCCTTCTTAAAGTTTTCCCAAAAAAATATAAAAGTTTCTCTAAAATGTGCATCACTTAATAAGTTTGTGTTAAAGTGCCAGTAAGCACTTCTCGGCTTGACAGAGTGTAAAGTTACTGTACATATAACAAGACTATGATCTGAAAACCCAACTGGGATTATGAAACAATTTTTAAAAGTACTAAGATGATGTTTAAAAACATAGAATCTATCTAGTCTTGCCAATGACAACCTATTATCACGGGCATGTGCCCATGTGTACTGCTTTAAATTCCCATTTAAACTCCTCCAGACGTCACATAAATCGTTTGTTTCGATCAACTGGATGAGTCGCTTACGAGAAAGCAAATGTGGCTCTACATGATTTCTATCCATGTTACTTTCTACACAGTTGAAGTCTCCACCTAAAAATAAATGCTCCTCGCTATTACATTTATCCAATGTTTCACAAAGAGTATGTAAAAACACCATTCTTTCTGCTGGTAGAGTTGGAGCATATGCACATATAAAAACAAAAATGTGGTTCTCAACCTGGGCTCGAATCTTTAGCAATCTACCGTTCACAACCTCTTCCGTCTCAATATTAGAGGGAGTAAAACTATTGGCAAATAAAATAGCCACACCACCACTAAGTGAGGATTTGTGACTAAAAAATGAAAGACCTTTAAATTCTTTCGCCCATTCATCAGCATTTGTTGTATCGCTATGTGTTTCTTGCAAAAATAAAACATCAAGTTGTTTCTGACTCATAGTATTATGTATTTGTATACGTTTTATGCATTCTCTTGCTCCATTTACATTTAAGGATGCAACGCGAAAGTCACCCATGTGAAAGTTATAAAAAAATAAACTTAGGCCATAGAGAAAAAAAAAGCCAAGAAGGGCCAAAAAATTAATCCAATTTACTGCCATTAATTACTCAATTGTTGTTGGAGTTTTGTCACAAATTTTTTCAACCTATAGACTTCTTTATTTGTGAAACATCCCTCAGCCATGAAAGCCCTCGTATTTTCCACAAAACGCTTTATGTCTGGAAAATAATCAGCAACCTGTACCCCCCTCGAGTTTTTTGACATTTTTAAGAACTTCTTGATTTCTTCAGTATCATAATCTCGACACGTCCACTCATTCTGGGAACAACTAGAAGCACCAGAATCAGAGAGATCACTCTCATTACCAACATCATCATCAGACTCCCTTTCATTTTCAGTTTTTTTAGCTTGTTTTGATTCAGAAACCTTGTCATTCTTTTTCCTCTTTAACGGTGTTTTAAAAACTGCCTGATCTAGATCCATCATTAAATTTTCACTTACGTTGACACTCTCTGAAGGAGACTTTGATTCAGACACTACAGTAGTAACATGCGAAATATCCATGCTCTCATCAGCCTTGGGCTCACCTCTATCAACTACATCAACTAAAGCATTCTCCTCGTTATTCGCAGCTATGGCCTGATTCTCATGAGGTATTGTCTCAGTTAGACCACTAGTGGATGGTCTGGGATCAGTTTGGGTTAAATCAGGAACATTATCCACTGTATTCCTGACCTGCACACCAGCTTCACCCAAGACACCTTGTGTATTTGTACCATTACTGTCTGGACAAGCACGCACTAAATGCCCAGTTTTTCCACAGCCAAAGCACTTCATCACATCAGTGCTTACAAAGACAGTGTAATCAAAGTCGTCAACTCTGAGTTTCAAATTCAGGTTGAGGTCAGTTCGATTATCCTTCAGGATCATATAAGTAAATCGCCTGAAAGACACCACATGTTTAATCAAGTCTGATTTGCTACCCAGAACGATCTTTTTCACGGGACTGACTATCTTTCCAAACCGTGACAGCTCTTTTATTAGCATCTCATCTTTTATGAACGGTGGTACGTTAGACAGAGTGACTTTTTTCGCGGGTGTAGAAAGGGGAAGCACTGGGGTAAACAAACCACTGATCACTACACCTTTTTCCACTACTTCATTCGCTCTCTCAACAGAATTTAAAAACAAAACCATTGCATTGTTCATCCTAGATGCCGCTAAAATACACTCATGGCCAACAACATTTCCAACTGCAAGAATGCACTCCTCCACATTCACCGCGGACACCACTTTCACTCCGTGACGCCGCGTGAGAGAGTCTAAACAGGTGTTTGTGTTTTGGGCTGCCATGCTTCCCAGTGACACACATACACTGGTTGCTGACGCCCGAGAAACCTCTCGCGGGAGCCTTATTCCACCACCCGATACACCACAAATACAAAAAAAAAACCTCAAAGAGATTGAAAGAAAAAGATTTGAAAGAAGAAAGCCACAGCGGGCATAAACCACTCGCACTCACCACACGCACCTCACACTCGCTCAACAGACGCTCACGCATGCGCAGAGAGAGAGAGAGAGAGAGAGAGAGAGAGAGAGAGAGAGAGAGAGAGAGAGAGAGAGAGAGATGAAGGCTCATCTCAGCTGGGCTGTTCTGAGCTAAAAGCCCTCTGGTCACTACTCACTGATGCTCTCTCGTCGCATAAAAGACAGAAAGTTCAATGAGCCCACGAGAGTCATAAGCGCTGAGGTGCCGAGAGTCCCAAACAGCTTTTCCCTAAACAGCCGCAACTTTGGACCATAATGGTCGCCCATAAAGAAAATCATCATCAATGAAAATGACAGGTTATTAAGATCTGATATTAAGCAATGGGCTTTAATAATGATAGGTTATCTATAAAACCTTTACAACCTGGCTCCGTACGAACAGATTCAATCTCGCCCAGCCGCCACCGCTGACACATGTTAATAAGCCCACAACCTTTAATTAAGCAGTATATATAAGTAGGGCCCCATTAAGGGCTGATTTGTGGGCGAGTTCATTACGTCAAGCACCGGGCAGCAGACACATACTCAATACAAATCAAGGCAGACAGAATATTATCCTGCTTAATGTGGCCCCAATATTGATATTTTATCACTGTGTCTTGATAAGTGACTTTTAGAATCGTCATTTTTCATGGTGTTGAAGCAGCAGTGAAGACCAAACGACCCGCATTCATGTCTTCGTAGAACTTTTACTTTACATTGTTGTCTGGGTGATGAACTGCCTTGCTTTTATGTATTGCACTTGTATTGTAGTTCACGTCTGGTATTAGTTTTCTACATCTGTCCTTAGAGATCTGACACAAAAACCTGAACACAAGAAAGCCACTATATATATATATATATATATATATATATATATATATATATATATATATATATATATATTGTATTACTGTAGGTAAAGTTAAATGCAAATCTTCATTCAAATCCATGTTTAATTGGAGTGCATCAGTTTCCATTAAATCTTTCTTGAATTAATTTTGTCAATATCCTTCATTGGTTTTGCTACAAATTATTTTAACTATTTTTTTTTCTTTTTTTTTTTTTTCTAGGTGTATGTAAGGGTTATGTTTAGTTTAGTTGTCAATTTAGCTTTCTGTTTCCTATATTTCATTTCGGTGGGGGGGGGGGGGGGGGGGGGGGGGGGGGGGTATATAGGGGTGTATATACTATATACACCCCTTGTATAAAGTATTGTATTGTATATTGTATATTTGTTGTGTTTATCGGTTCTCGTCTTTATATTCATTTTTTAAAGTGATAGTTCACCCAAAGAAATTCTGTCATCATTTACTCACCGTCAATTTATTCCAAACCTGTATGAATTTCTTTCTTCTGCTGAACACAAAATAATATATTTTGAAGAATGTTGTTCCATAGTATTTTTTTTCTTTCTCCATACTATGGAAGTCAATGGGGCCTATCAACTGCTCGGTAACCAATATTCGGTCCCACTTTTTATTAAGTGGCTTTAACTACTATGTACTAACATTGAAATTAATAATTTGATACAATGGACTTATTGTGTACATACATGTTTTTACATTGTACTTATATTTACAAAAAAACCTGCATGTAATTACAGCTGTAATTAATGTATGTAATTGCATTTGTAATTACACTGTTGACCCTTCCCTTACACCTTAACCCACCCTTAAACCGACCCATATCACCACACCTGTCCCTAACCTTACCAGTATCACTTCTCAATAGCAGCAATGTGTTTTACAATACAACATGAATACAATAAGTACATTGTACTTATTTTTAGATGTAAGTACATAGTACTTAAAGCCACTTAATATAAAGTGGGACCAAAATATCTTCTTTTGTGTTTAGCAGAAGAAAGAAATACATTCAGGTTTAGAACAACTTGAGGGTGAGTAAATGATGGCAGAATTTTAATTTTTGGGTGAACTATCCCTTTAATTTGTAGTATGTTGTATCTATAGTGTTTTCTAATTCTTGGTGTGTTGTATCTCTTTCCATCTGTATCTTATTGAAATCACCTTGGGCTTTATGTGTGATTGACTACACAACATGACAGTATACACTTTTACAAAAATAGTCGGACACTTAAGTCACAATTAACATGTCTAAATGTCATTTCAGTTAATACACAATATCAAGTGGCATCTGCAAACAAATGCTGTCAGAGTTTTTTTTTTTCTAATTTCAACTTTTAATCTGGTGCTTTGTAGAGTTTTAGTCAGTTCCCAAGTTAAGTTTACAAGTGTCCTAGCAGAGAAACATAGGCGTATATATCCAAATGTACTGTGTGACTTTGTGTGTGTGTGTGTGTGTGTGGCTACTTCAGGCTGGGCTCTTTAATTCCATTGCTTGAGTCACAGGCACTTCCTCCAAGAGGCTCAACCCTGTGCGATCCTTTAACACACAACACAAACAATAAAAATTTAAAAAATCAAATAACAACTTCCAGCACCATTATCATATAACTGTTTATCTTAATCTACATTCATTTGCGTCTCGGTTTGGTGTTGATACTCACGCCAGGCAGGTTTTCTCCTCTTCCTCTCTCTGAAATGTGTCACGCTCTTCATCCTCTCATGTTCCTCATGCACCTCTGATGTCTGAAACTCTTTGCTGTCAGAATCATCCATCACCTGTAACACACCATACAAAATGATCAAACTAATTATTCAGATTGCTTTGAAACTTCATCTCAATGCAAGAAAACGAATTAACAAAAAGTTATTCAAAACCATTTAAGTTATTTTCCCACAATTAACACGCATCCACGTTGAAAGTGCAATGATTCCAGTGTCATCTGCTTCCAGTTATCTTAGCAGTACAAAAACAGTCCATTATGCTGCTTGATTTAGCAAACTGGTTTTTGTTTTCATATTGCAACTTTAACCATTTACTGCACGTTGTTCTTCTTATAGTAATGTATATACTGTATAGTGGCTAATGAATCAGAAGTCTCACACATTCACAGGAAATTCTTACTTCCGTGTTGTAAACTAAAGTGGATATTCTGTCAAAGTTGAATTGTAGTTGTATTGAATTGAACTCATTTGCAATACTTATTGGTTCTGTAGACATTTAAACTAACCGTTAGGCAACAAGAAACTGTACAAGTTAACCATGAACAGGGCAGCCATAGTGGTAGAAACAATAATGGGGGGAAAAACGACAGTGTGTAACATTAAAAAATATATAAAATAAAATGACACATACAACAAAGTGGTCTTTTGAAGATTAGGTTTCACAGTGAAGTGCAGTTCAGCACTGCACAAATAAAATCTAAAAAAAATAGCAACATGTTCTGTTCCTTATTTTGGCTGGTTAGAACAAAATCTCAAATTAAATAACTTTTATCACATCACAATTGCAAGATATTGTTCAATTCACATAAATAAGTTTGCTATGCAAAAAGGACATGCATGCAACATATTTGAATGATCGCCCCATTAAACAAGAACAAAAACTTAAAAATGGTTAGAATGATGTCTATTTTTTAATTATTATTTTTGCAGTTGACCTCATGGCATATGAGACATAGTCAAACATAAAGAACAGTGATTTATAAGCAGACACGAGAGGAGGAACTGAGGTCGTTTGTCAATGATTCTAGCTGCAGGATTATTTTAAAGGTTAAATATTTCAAATTCAAATGCTAATCTGGGTCAATGTGGCTTCGGTCGGCTGTCCTGAGCTCTGACTCATAAATGTGAGCTCAACAGAAGGACTTTAATGGAGGATCTGATACACTATTATCCAAATGAAGATATGACACATAAAATGTCACGATTCTTACCTCATTGCCTGCTGGGAGCAAATGATCACCCCAGGTTAGAGAAGAAGTCTCTGGAAATGCCTTGGTTCAATAACACACTAATAACACACATAATTAATGGTATAGGGGTGACTGGGACTAGATGTCATAAATGCTAAATTTCAGGTTTTGAATCAAAAGTTCAGTTACATAAATGGTTGTTTTCTCCAGCAGTAGTACTAATTAGTCATAGTGAGTAATCATAAAATATGACCTTTTTTTGGAACTCCAATATCATCAAGCAAATACAATAAAAGTGGACTATATTATACATTACAAAAAAAGTCTATATAGCTTTATAAAGATTTTAGATTTAACTGAAAGTTTGAACTAGGCTATTTAAAGGGATAGTTCATCCCAAAATGGAAATTATGTCATCATGTACTTATCTCCAAATCATTCCAAAACCCTTTTGACTTTCATTTCATTCAGTCTTCTGAAGATACACAATCACTTTATATGATGAACAGATTTAATTTAGCCTTTTATTCACATATAAACACTGATCAACACACATGTAGAGCTCATCAAATATGGTGAGTGGAAGTTCAACCGTACATGCTTGAAATCTCACTGTTCTTGCATAAGCTCAAACATGCTTGCGTGACATGCGAGAACAAACTTCATTGGCTCTCACGTGTCAAACAATCACGTTTACCTTTCGTTTACCATATTTGATGTGCTCTATGTGCATTGATCAATGTTTATGTGTGAATAAAAGCCTAAATTTAATCTGTCTCATCAAAAAAACTGGTTTAAACTGCTTTGGAGATCTTTTAACATCTCTTTATGAACTTTATGAAGAGTCGAAGTTTATGTGGAATAGACTTTCAATAGGGACGTAAATCAGGGACGTAATAGGGACGTAAATCAGAGATTTCATGAAACTATTTTCATTTATGTTTCGAAGATGAGGTTAAGTGTCATGGGCTTGTAATGACATAAGGGTTAGTAAATGATGACAATTATCATTATTCGGTGAACTAACCCTTTAAAAAAACTGCAGCAGTAGTTTTAAATGTTTTAATTTTATATAATTCATTGATTCATAAATCATGCTGTTTTATGAATTGTTTCACTGAAAAATGTAATGTTTTGCTGAGAAGCTATTAACACAAGCCTAGAATACAATTTAACTTTACAAAATAACAGAGTCAATAAACAGCCCCATATACAGTGATGCCCTGCTATTATAATGCTATATAAACATGTTAATTCAGCTATATACATTTTTTTTTTCCTGGGCAAAAAATAGTGGGGGGTTTGGGGGAGTGCTGTCCAATAGGTTTTCTGCATTCAAGACTTTAGGTTTGTGTCAAATTCAGAAATTCACTTGATAACCCTGAAAATATTCATAGGAGTAACAACTAGCTCCGGTTTACACAATTCAAGACAAGTTCTTTGACATGCAGAAGATACTCTCCAGCACCACTGTGTCACTAAAACTATCCGTTTTGTTAGGCAAAAGTCATAGCATTCAATCGTGAGCACCTTTCGATACCAGACGATTGTCACACGGCGTCTATTTAAAGAGTCTGCTGCATTCAAGGACAAACAAAAGACACACAGAAACACAAACAGTGCCGCATGCTTCAAAACCTCAAAAGCCACATGACAAAAACAGGCTGGCAAAAGTGAGTGTGTTTAATGCGTGCTGGGTGCTCATCAGCGGTTTTGCCGAGCATTAATAATTTGTGCAGAGGTAATACTCAAGCTGTTGGAGCTGTAGTTGTGCATTTTTAATGGAAGTTTTACAGAAGTGGCGGCAGGCTTCACATATGCTGCAGACGGCATATGGGAACAAGAGATGATGCAGCACAGTTGGCCAGAGTGCCGCTTTCTTAGGCCGCAGACACTTAAACACTAGCCCGAGAGGAAAGACACGCGCTCACGCACATAAACCTACTGCCGTTTTAGCACGAGCCCTAATGAATTCACACGCGTTTATGTCCAACGCCATCTTGTTTCCACATATGAGGCGGGTGTTGGCCCAATCGGAACTGAAGAAGTTATTGGTGTTGCATTAAAATCGGAGCTATTATCTGCCTAATTTGTAGTTACTCAGGAGCGGAAAACATCTGCTTAAGTAATGTTTGCTTTTAAAGGATCCCTAACTTTAATAGAAACATCACAAGAGGATCATAAAGTTGCCGCAAAATTGCAACTGATTAAACTGCACAGTTTTCTGTTGCATGCTGACAAAGCTTATCTTCATTGAAACCCAAATCCCCTGTAATGATGGGTTTGTGCACAGAAATGTATTTGGATCTAATCAACTTCAATGGTGCAATACAAATTTGTAAACAAAATTTGTAAAGAAATAATGAGAAGATGACTCCAATCCAGTGGCGAAGCTTCTATAAATTTATAGAAAAAAAGAATGATTAAATGCAAGTTTCAATGGTCAATTGCAGGTGGTTTCCTAGTTTTCCCTCTCCCAATAGGTGCATATCATTACGCGTGTGAAAATAAAACATTAAAAATGATTCGTAAGTCTCTGTTAGTCCCGTCCACAATGTTATCCTTACGATGCAAGGTTGTAAAACTTGTAATAGTAAGATTTGCTCATTTGTGGAGTTGAATTTGAAATTGGTAAAGCCAATATCAATCAGATGATACTGTAGCTTAAATTATTTCAAATATCCCACTTGTACTGCTGCAAGAATCCAAGTCTAGCAATGAATCCGGGTGATTCCTTTAACACAAACTGACAGAGAAAATTGATTATGATGAGTTCATCTCCGTTTTCAACCAGACGTTCTGTTGTCTAAGACTAATATAGCGGGAGGACATGGTAACATTATCTTAATGTTTATAATTCATGTAATGTTTACACTGACATAGTTGATAATAGGAAATAGGAAGAGACATTTTATTGTGTTTGTCATGCACTGTTAAAAAAAAAAAATATATATATATATATATATATATATGATCAATGTCATGGCAACATGTTTTACATTACTTTATCTCATAAAAATAATTTAAGCAATTTCAACTTTCTTTTATAAGAAGATTCAACTTGATTTTTAAAGTCAGTTTTAATATAATTTAAGTTAAGGTGACTTGCACAGCCAATTTGATTATACTCAATTTGCAGCAGCGAAACTACTTTTTAAGCAGCAGCAGAACTTAAGTTTTTAAGTTTAACAGTGCAAATTTTTATAGGCTGTTGTTGTTTGCAGTTTTGAACTTGAAATTGTGCTGCGTTATATTTTGTTATAGGCAATTTGGTGTGCAGGTTTCATACTCTTTGCCCACCTTATTTTATGAAGGCCCACCCTTGAACAATTCTGACCTTGAACGCTCCAGTCATATCACTGTTCTAGAAAAAGTTGTTTTATTTAAATTCAGCCGCAGACATTTGTTTGTGGTTGTTAGACTGCTTACTATACACTTAAGAAATAAAACTTGAGGAAAAACTACATATTCCCCCAAAATAATACTAAAGTGTATAACAAAGTATTTTAAACCCCTGCTCATATCCCAGTGTCAAACACCTAAATTAGCTACTACATGGGTAGCTGTAAATGTAAATCTTCAGATCACTTTGTGTTCTAGAGCTTTGATTACTTCTAGATGATAACATTACATTAAATACATTGAAAATGAGTTACAGTTAGTGTTAGGTTGGCAGTGCTGTCTGGGTGCTGGCGTGGCTGTCGCATGTGCCCTGGGGTGGACGGCACTGATGCTATCAGCGTCTTTCGTGTGTCAGCCTGCCCACCGCCACACCCATCACACACTCCAGATACGGCCTGACACTTCCCTCTGCTGAGCCAGCCACAAACACTATACACAACCCCCTCCTAAAATAATCAGTCACTCAGTGCGGAAGTCCACATGAAATCAAAGATTACTTTCTTAATACTCTTATTGTGCACACTCTTATTGTGCAAAATAAATCATTTTTAATAATAATAATAATAATAATACATTTATACACTCTAAAAAAATGCTGTAATTTTTGGCAAATTTTTTTATTGGGTTTATCCATATTTGACCCAAAGTTGGGTTGAAACAACCCAGCATTTTTTAGAGTGTACATTCTTTATTTTTAAATAAATAAATGTCTCAGTGTGCTGAATTAACTGCTTTTGTGTGGAAACTGTTCATATGATACATTGACGGCCTGAATGCTAACATTTAACATGGATGAATGCAGGAGCGAACAAACAAACAAACAAACAAATGAATTAAAACATGCATACAGCAGTAAAATGGGTTTGGAACATAGCTTCCGTTAAATTCAGATTCCAAAAACAAAATCGAAGACTTTTTGGGCATTCTGATGGTTTTTCGTCTAAATCACTATATGTTTGCAAGAGTGAATTTTACAAAGCTGGCATTTACAGAACCTATTGTATATCTAGATATGAGTTTGCATGATTTGCTATTGTTGAATGCTAGTATACAGAATTTGGTCTTACAAACATGGACAAAGTTTAGGAATTTTTGACAGCTTGTCAAGTGTTTTGTTGTTTAGTATCATCACTGATGTGTTTGTGTTTGCAGCTCTCCAGGGCCGCCCCTCAGACTGATAAATATGTGGCGTGTTCGTTGGTGCTCTCATCAGTCACAACACAGCTCAGGACGCCATTAACCGACCGCACTGCCTGCAAGCGAGCCGTTGACGCGCATGCAGCATAAATCTGCTGTTTTTGACACGGAAGTTCTAAAATATTAATTTTGTTAGGATGATCCAGGTTGTTCTCGGGGGGGATGGGAGTTAATTCATGTGCTTGCAGTTGTTACCAAGCAGAATCAGTGGTACATTTAATTAGACAGCAATCTGGACGGCAGTCTGCGCCCTGCTGTTCCACTGCATTTAATAACGTGTGAAGCCATGGGCGGAGGTTAGCGAATATATCCTGCTATAGATTCCTAGATTAACCAAAGGAAGAAAGAATTAGCACCTAGTCCAGGTGTGAGGGATACATTCATGAACGATATGCATTGACTGCCTCTGGTGAAGGTGACAATACCCCATTCTTTAGCATTCTTTAGCTCTTTAGCTCAGTTCCAAAACCTAGTGAGCAGCAGAATTTTTAGGGATCGTTAGGCACACTTGGACAATAAGACTTTTTTCACAAGATACACTGTAAAAATTATTTTTCTTGTTGTAAATTAAATAAACATTATTGGTGTACATTTTACAAGAAAATACTATTTCAGTTATTCTAATTCAAAATGTAAGTTGTAATTTTTTGTGAAATTTTGTAGCAGTTTATGAGTGAAAATTGTTTCCACACCAATTGGTTTTTTTTTTTTCAGTGTAGACAGCACCAGTATGCTGCCATTTTGGATTGTTTTGGCTAAAACCAGAGGAAGAATTATATGTATCCTTCACAGGTAAGGCAATATCACAACATATTGTAAATCAGTAAGATGCTGGATGGTCTCTTTAATACTGAAAAGTGTGCAAAATTCTTCAATCCAATGACAAATGTATTATTATTTTTTTCTGTTTTGTGTTGTTTGCATAATTTGCAACATGCTAATGTTAGGCTCAATTGTGATCAATTGTGACTGATCAATTCTTGGGTGACCGCCACGTGAGGAGCACCATTTGTGTGTTGTGCATATAACGTTCTGAGACAGTCACTTATTAAAGGGTTAGTTCACCCTAAAATGAACATTTTGTCATCATTTACTCACCCTCATGTCTTCCCAAGCCCTTAATATTTTTGTTCATCTTTGGAACACAAATTAAGTTATCTTAAATAAGAAGATATTTTTTCTGTGCCTCCATTGACTGCTACGCAACTACCACTTTGCCTGCTTGAAAAAGTTCATAAAGAGATTGTAAAACTAATCCATTTGAATTGAGTGGTTTAGTCCAAATTATTTGAAGAGACACAATCACTTTATACCAGAACAGATTTAATATAGGCATTTATTCACATATAAACCTTCATCAACTCACACATCAGTTATGGTAAACGCAAGCATCCTTGTTTGACGTGCAAGAACCAATGAGGTTCATTCTCGTGTGTTACACGGCACGTTTGAGCTTCCGCAAGAGTTTGTTCTCGCGCATCAAGCATGTACAGTTGAGCTTCTGTTTATGTTTATTGATCAATGTTTATATGAGAGTAAAAGCCTAAATTCAATCTGTTCATCATATAAAAATGGTCTCTTCAGAATTTTTTTTTATTAAACTGCTTAATACATATAAATTAGTTTTGCAATCTCTTTATGAACTTTTTGAAGCGGCAAAGTGGTAGTTGCGTAGCTGTCAATGGAGGGACAGAAATAGCTCAGATTTTATTAAAAACATCTTCATTTGTGTTTCGAAGATGAACGAAAGTCTTACGGGTTTAGAACAATATGAGGGTAAATTATGACAATTTAAATTTTGGGGTGAACTAACTCTTAAAGTTCACTTTAGGATTCTGCCATAGAAGATGCCAACCTCTATAATGGCTCCATCAGGTTGTCTCAGGAAGTGTCTGTAATGTTGGCGCAGGCCGCTTAAGTGCAGTGTGTAGATGGATAGATGGGTGCTTGTCTCACATCCTGTACTGGGCATGCCTACAGGCGGTGCCAATCCCACCACAGGCTCCTCCTCCGTCCAGATGTAGTCATACACTGCCACCTAATGAGACACATACACCCCCACACATACACACACCTTATTAGAGATGACTCAAATATATATACAGAACTGTGGTACCAAGTATTAACACAATTTGCTGAGTTACTGCTTTTAAAATTGAACACATGCTCTACAGAAAGTGCTGTGTACATGAATCAGTGGGGCCCAAAACAACACTGGACTCTATTGACTGTCAATGTATCTCAAAAAAAGAGAAAAAGATATAAAAATAATATAAAAATATATATAAAATATAAAATAATAATCATAAAAAAAGAAAAAAATATATATCATAATCTTCTTTTGTCTTCAATATAAGACAGAATGCTATACAATTTTTAAATCACATCAAGGTGATTTTCATTTTTTGGGTGAATATTTCTTCAATGAAAAGTTTATGTCATGTCTTAGATGAACTTTCAACTTAACCAACATTATTTTGTAATTTATAAACTACCCCAAGGTGCCAAAAATATTGCACAGGACATTTTAGGATTTCTTTGTGGAATTACCAAAGATTTAGTGAATTAATTTTTTATGGGTTTTTTTTTCACCCGCTCAAGACATGAGGATTTCAAAATATGTTTTAAATTGTGGATTATTTGGAAGAAAAAAAGGAGATAATTATAAAACAAAATTGTCAAAATATCTAATTGGTGTGTTAGGCCTTGCAGCTATCCCGCTGTCATTAATAACAAAAAAAACTGCTCTTCATTTATTTCTATGTTCTTTATTTTTTACCATTTAATTGCATGAAAAAAAAAAATCAGTTTGTTTATTTGCATATTACTTTTTAACAATTAACTTCCAATTAAAGTGTGTGGATTGGCATATGCTTTGCTGTGGTATCAAAATTTGGTATATTGATATTTTACTGGACAATGCTAACGCAAAGAAAGCAAAAAATAGACTACGACTTCACATTCATGTAGCTGCACGTGTTTGTGTGTGTGTTCAGACCAAGGGTGTATCTGAGTACAACTGCATGCTTGCACGAATGCTTACCCTGACGCAATTACCTGCCCTACCTGCGGCCACAGTTCAGTGCTCACTGAGATGAATGCAAACCCGGATAGTTGACAGTAATGGTCTGTAATTTACAGCTGTGCTTGTGAGGTGATGAGCTCTGGCTGAGAGATGCAGGAATGCAGCGTGTCAGGTTTCTGAATGACTCACACAGCCTCTGACCCTGACACGACACTAACCAACAACAGTCGATAATAACCTGCTTCAGCCTAATCCTTAAACGAGGGAAAGGAAAAACAAAGAAACTACTGGCCCGTATCACTCATTAATGCTGGTGTTAAAGGCCATGCTTGGAAAAGCATGCTATTTGTACTATTTTTGCACAGTATGCAAATTGTCTTTATGTATGGAATACTTTGTTAGCCTGGTTCTACCAGACTCTCGTACATTTCATTTGTACAGAGAGTCTGGCCTCGCTCCATTGAGAAACGTTTACTTCCTTGTAGGCGGGTTCTCTGTTAAAGTTCAAAACTATTGGATCTGCCCAGCGTCACTCAGGATCTGCCATAGCCAATCACTAACGTGTGGGCGTGACGTATGTCATGCGCCGAAACCGGCTGGAAACAACAAGTCCGAATTCCATATTCATAAATCTAAATATCTAAATGCTAAACCTCTCTTTCTTATATTTGTGAAAGAATTTTAAAAATACCTCTTTTCAATTAAGTTGTCTGAGAACAAAAAAAGCCTTAAAAAAATTATCTGTTTGTAATTATTTTCCTTTTTTCAGTGTCATGTAATTCTCTTAACTTGTTCATGTTTATTTTATATTATCCCCCTACTGTTTTATTTTTGTTTTTATTATTATTTTTTGTTTGTTTTTGTATTATGTTTTCTGTTATTACTTGTGTATTGTTTTAAGCAATAAAAAAAAACAAGTCCGAATGATCAGAGGATTATGTTTAGAATAAGATGTCTGTCAACGAGAGCTGCATGTTTTGTTCATCGAATTTAAGAGTTCAAGGAACAATTCTAAATTCTAAATGTATATTTGACACTAAGGACAGTGATGTATTCAGTCAACTGTCGAAGCAGGGTGTAATCACTAACAATACGCCGCTGCGGTCGTTTCGGATCTGCCGCAAATGCTGTACAGTGATCATCGTGCACGCCGAGCTGCCCAGCACCAACTCCTAACCTTTCTGCCTCCCTCACTTGGTCCTCCATTAGTGCAACAAGAGGAGACGACAACAACTATCGGCTTTGCATCCTATCGTTCGCCTTAGCTAACTCATTCACCACTAGCGGAGTGAGCTGGAAAATTAAACTTTTCCCGAACCCCGTGGGGAGGAGGGCCACAACATCATGGCCACCAACAACACTTAGCAAACATTGATCTTGCTCCGGCTTTAACTTCTGGATATTCGGCAGTTTTGCAACAACGGACCGAATAGATTTTCTCACGTCTTTCTCCGCTGCCATTACTGAACTCCAACTCAAACTGACGCGCTACATTAACGTCATCGTTCTCAGCCACTCCCTCTGTTTGCTGATTGGACCGGTAAAAAAATTATTTCTGGAAACCAAAGTCTACAGCACAATCCCAGACGTAGTACTGAAGGAAAATAAAATTGAGCGGAAGTGCGTAGGAGGGCGGAGCCAGGCTAATACTTTGTTTGAAGACCTACTACACAACTACAGAGTGCTCAAGTTGACCTTGCTTTTCCAGTAGCATGAATGAAACCGGAAATGATATCAACCACAACCTCATAGTGCAGTGGTTCTCAATCCTGGTCCTAGGGAGCCACTGCTCTGCACAGTTTGTGTGTCTCCCTCATTTAACACACCTGATTCAGATCATCAGCTCGTTAGGAAAGAGCTTTATTAACTGAAGTGGGTGTGTCAGATAAAGGAGACATATAAAATGTGCAGAGCAGTGGCTCCCTAGGACCAAGATTGAGAACCACTGTCATAGTGGATCCTGTTTGCTTTGTGCACAATTCATTCTAATGAAAAAAAAAAAAAAAGATAACTGATCAAAACATGTTCTGACTCTGAAATTACTTTTCTTGTTTACTGACATAATGGATCCCTCTTATTTCCCATTCAACCTGTCATAAGGACCTTCCGGAATAAGGATGGACATCATATTTCATTTTTACAAAGCTGGCATGGATAGGAAGTTAGGAACTTAAGACAGTACAACCTACCCTCGCAGCTATGTTTTTATTTGCCAAACCTTAAAAATGCAATTTACCCTGAATAAAGTCTATAGCAGAAGTGTCCAATCCTGCTCCTGAAGGGCCACTGTCCTGCAGAGTTCAGCTCCAACCCCAATTAAACACACCTGAACCAGATAATCAAGCTCTTAAAAGGCAATCTAGAGACTTTGGGGCAGGTGTGTTGAGGCAAGTTGGAATTAAACTCTGCAGGTCAGTGTGTAGGACCGAGTTTGGACACCCATGGTCAATCATGTCCCACTACACTTGTGGTTGTTGTTGTTGATTATCCTGTTTCAGAAATGCATCAAATTATAGAAGTAAAATGTGGCATTTCATGGTGACTTTAAGACATAATTGGATAAAAATGCAAAAGCTGCAAAAGTTGAAAAGTTTGGGTTTAATATTTTGTTTTTCTTTTGAAAGAAATTAATGGTTTAAGCATATAGTAACCCTTTAGTTTATAGTTTAGTTATAGTTAACCATATTCTAAATCCCTTAATCCTATTGGGTAGGATTTCTTCAAAACAAAACAGTAAGAAAATCACTTTTGCTAATAGACTTCCTAATATATGTATCACTTATGCCACGCAGCGATTTTTACTTAATTGTGCTGCACGTATCAGAAGATTATTATGGAGGCAGCTGACGTTGATGCAGGAATTTGCAGCTTTACTCGCAAACTACAATTCCTATTTATCAATAAGGTGAGAATCAGACCAGTTATAAACCTAAATAACAGGAGAAGATGACATGGCTCACCGTGTTTGTTGACTGATCCGACTTACCACAGTTGTTTGATGGACCCGTAAAAGGCGCGAGCGTGCGAGGAAAATAAAATGTCAAGCACGGATGGCAGGTTAACAGGCTAGCGAAATGCTAGCGCGTTGTGCTAACGATTTAGATTAAAGCTAGCGGTGTCAGATTAATGTGACAGACAATATTAAATAATATCAGATATATTGTGATGATTAAGTTATATTAAGCAATATAAACAGCAAGGAAAGATAGAGAATAGAGATTAAAAACAAAGCTATACAGAGGAGCAACCGCATACCACTCAGGCAGACAGGAAACTGCTGCTTAACAGTGAAAACAGCAACAGACACAAACAGACCGAAACATACAAAATAACAACATAAAACAAAAAAAACACAAGATGAAAAAAATCAGATGTTGTGATTAAATCAGATCTTAAGTGTCTCAGCAGGTCTTATGTCATGAGGGATGGCTCTGATCTGTGTGTACGTGTCCCTTGTGTGTGTTGTACCTGTAATGCACTGCCCTGCTCTATTAGAGGAACACAGGAGACAAGCAGAGCGTGTAACATGCTATATAGGTCATGGATCTCAGACGCATTGGTGTGTGAAGATCACAGCGCCTCTCACCCAACTGGGCCAGCTTCACACTAGTGTCAGCACTGCTACACTCACCCCCCCTCTGACCTCAAATACACACACACACACACTATACATATACTCATCATTTCTCAAACATATGTGTGAATGCGCTGTCACAGCACGTTATGTGCAAAGACTCACCATTCTTTTTAGGTAAAACAAAAATATGACAATGGTGTTTTGGTGTACTTTGGAGTGTCATGTAAATACTTTGGTACATGGATATTATTCAGAACTACAGAATATATCAAAGTGCCACAAAAAAAAAAAAAAAAACACTCCAACATGGAGGCTCTTAACCCTGAAATGAATTATTTGTATATATTATACAATTATAGAAAGAGAAAAGTCATAATAAAGTGCTGCAGGGACGATGTATTTTTGTAGGCCAAAACCAAAAAATGAGTTAGCATTT